ACAGAGGTGGGCCTTCTTGTGTTTCCAACAGACAAGGACAATGACAGTGTTTTACTGATGAACATTATGTCTGTCATTGCAAGGTTAATCACTCACTTCGTGTAGATTTCCAGTCTCCATTAAATACATTCTATACGGGAGTGAGTGATGATGTGCATGAATCACGAGGTACAGTTTCTTGTTTTAAGAGGTCTGCATTTTATAGCAGGGACTTGTTTTAGATGGACAGCTAAAGGGTAACATTCTCTTTCCCACACTGCACATCACTGTCACAGTCTTTGGTATTCTGTAACCTTGGTTAGATTCTGTGAGTGTTAATCTCATTTAGCTGAGCTGCAGCTGTGGTTCAGAGAGGTTGACTGACTGACTGATCCAGTAGCTTACTAAAAATGGCTGATATACCAGCACTCAGGAGCCAGAGGCAGGTGGATCTCTGAGTTCAAGTCTAACTTTGTCTACAGAGTAAGTTCCAGGATAGCCATGGATACACAGAGAAACTCTGACTTAAAAAACAAAAAACAAAAACAAACAAACAAAGAACATAGTGGCATGGACTTTAAGCTTGTTGGTGGCAGAGGAATTTGTAAAAGTATATAGAATTCCCCTGCGTTACTAACACCAGATCCTGAATACCAGGTGCACTCAATACAGTGTTTAAAATGGATGTGTGAGGTAATCCTAGTTCGATTTGGGAGTTGGAAGATTTGGTCTGTGAGCAAGCCAAAGACAATTAAATCTCTCTCTGTGTTTTTTTTTTAATTTTAAAATATGGAGATGACTAATACTGTCTATATTTTGTTTGACTGGAGGTAAGAGATATAAATATAACTATGTAAGAATTCTTCTGATGTGTATTTGGCAACTTTCTCCAAACTAAGACTTTCCCTACTCATGATGTCTTCAAAACTGGAAAGGGACATTCTTCATTTATCCTAAGAAAGACAGCAGGAAAATTGAGATATCACAACCACCAGCAGGTTGATTTGTCTTCAATGCAGAGCTATTGGACATATCCTGGGAAGCACTGGGGAACGATTACAATTCAGGGAACCAGATGGAAAAGCTTTGAATTGATTCATAGAATCCTAATTTACATATTTCTTCTGAGTTCAACCTCCACGAACTCTGGACCTACGTTTTTCAGATTTCCGTGTATCTGTTTGTTTCTACTGGGGAAGCGAAGCGGATGGTAGTGCTGATGAAACATTTAAGGACCAAACAGCTAAAATAATGCATCCACAGTAGCACAAGTGTGAGGGGGAATGCTAAGTCTTTGCCATTTCATCAAAACCCAAACATCCCATTCCTTTATGGAGATCTAAGACAGGACTAATGTGTGTCTCAGGGACCTGACATTGGAAAGTTTTTTAGTCCTTACATGCCCAAGTTGATAATGACCTGTCAAGACGGGAGGAGTTCCAATAGCAGGAGCCAATTTCTCATTTCTTCTTCCATGGCTTCCTTTTGCCTCTAGGTGTATTTCCTCTCCATCAAACACCCTGACTGCCCACGGCCACTAAAAATGTAAAGATTTGAGAATCCGTGTCATCTTTATAGTCCTTTTTGAAGGAAGAGGGGGGCAGAGGACTGCAGTTTGGGAGGAATGTAACTGATTTTGAGAGTCTTCCTCTCTTCTTCCAACATTATCTGTATGTATTGCATGTGTACGGTAAACAGTTATATTTTGAGAGCTGGAGAAGCTTTTAAGAGTTCTGGTGTATGTGCTTCAATCATAGAGGTTTGTGCTTCAAATTCTCAGAGCCTCTCCTCAGGAATCTGCATCTTTAGAGCAAACACCTCAGGTGAATCAGAGGCATTCAAAACACCACCGTCAACTCTGTCATTCATTTGGTGTTTTCCTGTTGTCAAAATGCTTACATATGTATGTTCTGTTCTGTGAGGTAGAAGGGGACCATTATCTCCATTGTGAGGATGAAAAGAACTAAGTTGAGTTGATTTCCTTAGTTCCTCATTATATATATATATATATATGTTGCCACCTTCTTGTTCACTCTTGAGATTCCCCTTAGCTGACCTTTTCCTGCTTGGGTGTTGATTTGCAAAAGACAGGGTCCTCCCCAAAGCCAGCCAGTACTATCTGTGCCTGCCTTGCTGAAAAATGAGACAAGTCTTTCTGGAGCCAAGGAAAGAAAATAATTTTATTTGTGGAAATTGAACACTTCCCTAATGGGCTGTGTTGCCAATTGATTTCAAGCAATCTCTTCGGTCTTGTCAGATGTACTTTGGAGTGCATATCCTTTTCACCTGTCTTGATCTGTGTTGTTCAAATTCCAGGAACGAATCTATCATCCCCGCCCAGCCAAACTGAGCTGCTACAAGGGTTTTATGTTCTCCCCATTGACCCTTGGAAGCTTCCTCCTCCCACACCTTGCCTACTTAATACTCCTCTCAACTCTCAGTCACACCAGACCCTGTCTGCCAGCCTTTGCTTTGCCTGGGCAGCAGTCAGGAAGGCCACACACCAGATCGCTGGGCAGTGTTGAGCTGTCAAGACTCACACACCTCTGTCCTTCTCATGGCCCAAAGGAATCTCTGGTAAGCCAGCAGATTTGTACCCACATTTAGACAGTTCCTGGGTCCCTCTGAGTCTGGGCCCATTTTTCAGCCGTGTGCAGGGCTGGTATCTTTCCCAACCTCTTAGGAAATGTCTGTCTCTGCTTGCAAATTATCCGCTGAATGAAGAGAGTGGGGGGCTATTTGAAGACTAGGTGGACAGAAGACGCAAACATGACTAAGGGGCACTCCCCGACAGACCACAGCCTGAACCAAGGAGGAATACAGGTTTCTAGAATCTCTAATGCTGTGTTTCCTTGGATGACTCGGGTTTCTCTTTCAGGAGCAGGGCAAACATTTCTGGAGACAGGAGTGCACTCCAGTGCTGTTGTTCACTGTCCTTGTTCACATCAATCTATCATCCCACTTCTATTAACCCTCGAGGCAGGTTGCCTACGGAGACCTTTCTAGGCATTTTAATCTGCTTTGCAGCTTTCCTGACAGAAACAAGAAATCTAGGTTCCAAAGAGATGGAAACACAGTTTGCTGTTCCAAAATGTGGCGGGGGCGGGGAGACGGGGGAGGCAAATTTGGGTGACCAGGAGGTCATTGCTACTTTCTCCAGTGTCCACTTTCTTCCTGAAGGAAGAATGCTACATGCTTTTCTGGTCACTAGAGAGAGGGAAGATTTCATTTCCCTGCTCCCTGCACTGTCCCCTTCTTTGGTCACCCAGGGTCCTTCAACAAGCCGGTGGAGGTGTTTTTCTCTTGGGGGAGGGACCGGACACAGCAGACCCAGGCTGCAGTTCCCTCACTCTGCCTCTGAGAATTTCTCATCCAAACCTCAATCACGTAGGATTGCGTAGAGAGGAGAAAAGGGGAGAGACAGAAGACAGAGAGGGGGGAGACGGGTGTTGAGGGGGGGGGGGAGGAAGGAGAGAGTCTGGGAGCAGAGGGCGCGAGGAGAGGGAGCAGGACCCAAGCGCCACGCTCTCCAGCGCTCCGCCAGCCCAGCCCCCAATTCAGCCCCACCAGGACGCTTTCCTGCTCTCCAGGAGCCCCGAGCAACTCGGGCTCCTAGTCGCACCCGCTGTCTCGGCGACAGTCGCCTCTGCCGGGAGTTTCCTGCGGAGCTAGCGCTCGCGGAGATAGCCCGCGGCGGCGCCCAGGAGCCTCTGCCCATGAATGGGACTCCGCCCTGAGCGCCCCCTCCCGGTCCAGGGGAGGCGGCGGGGGGCGCCCCGCGATCCCGCGGCTCCCAGCCGCCACCGGCGCAGCAAGTTGAGCGAGTTGGTGGCCGCCTGCACCTGCCTCTCGTCCCCGGCCCCTGAGTCCGCGCCCGGCCGGGGGAGCCCAGGTGGCGCGCGCGGCCGCCGCCTCCCGCCGTCGCCCAGGGCGGCCTAGGGACCCTGCCTGCGCCCGGGCGCCAGACCATGGTGGGCAGCTGCGACCCGGAGCCGCAGCCGCCGCGAGCCGACGTCGCCCTCAACCAGCCCCCGCCCCACCCGAGCGGACGCGCGGGGGCTCGCAGCGCGCGGTCATTTCCTTCCACCGCCGCCGGGATGGGCAGCGCGGGACCGAGCGAGCGGCCCAGCGTCGGCCGGGTAACCCCTCTCTGAGCTGCGGCCCGGAGCTGCCGACCGCTGGGGCGTGCGAGCCTGGGGTCCGGGCGGCGCGGCGATGACCTGATCCCGAGCCCGCCAGGGCGCCCGTCCCTTGCTGCCCGGCTCGCTCGCAGCCTGTGCAGGAGACCGGCTCCTCGGTGCGGCGGCCCGGGCGCACGGTGGCGGGGAGCTCCGGTGAAAGGCGTGTGGGCGCCGAGCTGAGGAGGACACCTTCGGCAGCTCTGCCTTTGGAGGGGCTTCTGTAAACTACTGAGTCATTCCAGATTTAGGATTCCCTAAATAATCACCAACTGTGCCCGTCTCGTGCCGGAACGCGGGCAGAGAGAGAGCGAGAGCGCCCGCTCTCGGGACCCCGCGGATCCCCAGGGTGCTTGGCCCTCGAGGATCTCCCTCCCTCCGGCTTGTCCTCCCCCTCCCTCGTCTCCCGCTTTCTTTGCAGTGCTGCTGGAGGAGAGGCGCACTCACCGCAGCTGGAAACAGCTGCCCCCGCCCCGCGCCCCTACCCCGAGTCTAGCTAACCGCTCCCACTTCTCGCCTCTTGGAATTCCAGAAGTGGGGAGGCCGGCCCCTGGAGAACCGCAGCCGGTGCGATGCATTCCGTAGACCTCACCCAGCTGGGACGGACCTCCTAATCTCCAGAACCGCGGGCCACAGGGAGTTGAATTGCTGCCTTCCTCTCTTCTCTGACGCGGTTGGTGGCTCGTTTTCTAAAGGAACGTTTTATTCACTTTTTTGTATTTTCTTTTCTCTTCTTTCTTTCTTTCCTTTTTTTTTTTTTTTTTTTTTTTAAACCGGGGACACGCTTCTCTCCTCGGTCCAGACTCTGCTTTGTAAACGGGTTTTCTATGTATGTATGTGTAGGCATACTTGGGACACCTTACAACGCTTGCGCCTCTCCAACCGGGACACGGTTTGTTATTTTGGACATCTTTTCCCCCTTTCCACCCGGTACCCTGAACGCAGTGTGACCAAACTCCTCACTGTCCTTTGGACGTGGATCGCCTTGGGGGTGCAAGTTTGGGGTGCAAACGTCTACTTCGTGAGAAGGCCTGGGACCGCCCCGCCCCCCCGACGCCGGGGGTTGAGGAAGTTTACATCTGGATTTTCACACGTTTTGTTGCCACTGCCCAGACTCCGACTAACCTTGTGGGCTCCAGGTTTTCGATACTGCAACCTCCTCAAATATTAGCACTGCCTCCTCGCGCCTGCCCTATCACTCCAGGCCCCCCGAGGTCCTTCCCTCATCCCGGCGGAGCGGAGTACGAACCCGAGGGCTCAGTGGAGCCCGGGGCCTCGGGCCCGCACTGAGCAGCTATGGCTGCAGCGATAGCCAGCTCGTTAATCCGACAGAAGCGGCAGGCGAGGGAGTCCAACAGCGACCGGGTGTCGGCCTCCAAGCGCCGCTCCAGCCCCAGCAAAGACGGGCGCTCCCTATGCGAGAGGCATGTCCTCGGGGTGTTCAGCAAAGTGCGCTTCTGCAGCGGCCGCAAGAGGCCGGTGAGGCGGAGACCAGGTCAGTAGCTCCCCAGAGGCTGACACCCACCCATCCCCTTTCTTAAAAGCTTCTGGGAATTGCTCATGGAAGGGAGTCAGAATTCCTTTCTTCCATGCTGGCCCACCCGCTTTCAACAACCCCGCGTCAGTTAATAGCTTGTCCCATATTCGGCAAAAGACTTCCTGCTTTCATCAGTCCACAGTTTGACTAGTATGAGGGCCCACTTGTATGGATGCACCTAGATTCCGAAATTTTGTAACGTCCTGGAGGGCAGTGACTGGTTTGTTCATTGATTCATTTATTTGTTTGTTTACCACCCATTGTTCTACCCATCCATCCATCTACCTAGAGAGTCATCACACTACCTATGGAGAAACTCGAAGATGAATAAAGTTCTTTATAGTCCCCATAACCACACACGGCAGAGGATTACGAATTATAATGGATACCAGATGAACTTATTATTACTTTGATTTTCTTTGCCTTCAACAAGCACATGGTATTTTGCCTTTATAAACATCCCAGTTTCCCAACTTTCCATTTTCTCACGTGCTCATGTGCTTCATTCTAGTAGGGCCCCTTTCCAACCAGTTGATAGTTACCACGGGCTCTTCTTAACACTTTCTGTCCCATTGCCATTCTCTGCACACTAACACTTTTGAGCAACCAAGCCAACAATGTGATATCTGCAGTTTGCCCCCAGAGAGTGTAAAGAAAGGTCTTCTCAGACATCACCATGGCACAACCTTTCTGAAGTTGACCCTGCTTCTCGGCAGCCTTGGGGCCAAATGGTTCCTTAAATGCCTCTGTTTACAGAAGGAAAACTGAATACCTGCAGTGTCCAGGGGCCGAGTCCCACCATAAGTCAGGACAGTGTCACACCTTGAGCGACCAAAAGCGAAGCACCACTATGGTGGTTTCCCCAAACCTCCGGGTGTGGTCACAGAGTCAGGTGCAATCTTCAGCGCCCTCGGTACTGATAGCCAAAGGAAGGATGGGCTGAAAAGGGACCCTGCCCAGTGACGAGGTGACTACCTTATTCTGTTAGCGACTCAGACTCCCACACTCTCTTGAGTTCCTCAAATGAAGTGTGTAGGTTAGATTGGAAGTGGGGCTCAGAATAAGTCAAGATTTCCAGAGTAAGCTGTGGGAGGGAGGGTGCATTGCTTTGGCTTTCATTGATGTTTTTGTAACATTCATCACCCCGTTGGTGTCTCATTTCCACACTCTCTGATGTCCATAAAGTGGTAGATTTCAAGAGTAAACAAAATCGATGATGGTTCTGATTCAGCACCTGCCGAAGTCTTTCCATCTTACATCGGGTTAATATGGCCTGTACGTTTGGTAAAGTGAAGACTGAAGGGAAAAGCAGAATTATCTCTGCATATTGAATATTTCAATTTAAAGAACAGTATAAATCCCTCATTTTCTTGTACAGGGATCCTTTGGAACCTTGCTCTCAGGACTTACGTGGTCTGCAAGGGACTTCAAGGCTCTCAACTCAATGTGACTCATATACTAAGTCTCTAGAGTGGAGTTGCCCTGTAGCTGGTATACTTATGTGATATTTATGAGCTGATTCTACTCAGCCTTCTCAGCTAACAAGATAATAAAAGCAATATGTTGGTCATAACTGTGAATGGATGAGATAAACTCACTTATCTTTGTGTAAGTTGATTTGTAGATGAACATGAACAGTTTACATGGCTTCCTTTTTTTTTTTTTTTTTGGCTTGGGAAAGGATTGTGCATTGTTTCCTGAGGCCATTTCCTTAAAGTCTTATTAGAAACTAGGGATACTCTGAACTTATTGTTTCCCTTGGTGTTTACTTAATCTGCTTCTCCTGTTAACACACTGAGTGCTCATCTTGAGGATCCTGACTGGTGACTTCCTTTAGCTAAAGTATCACATGACAACCTAGCAGAAAGATGGTAGGCATTGCTAAGACGTTTCTAGTATAAGGACACCAGGGGTGAATTTGTTCACCAAAGACTTCGGGTTGTTGCGAAGCCTACTTAGCTCTGAAGAACGGGGGTGTCGTGTGTGTGTGTGTGTGTGTGTGTGTGTGTGTGTGTGTGTGTGTGTGGCAGAACTTTTGGGGAAGATGATAGTTGTGCTATTATTGTTACTAACAAAGTCAAATAATTAATCTGTTGATTTTATGTCAGCAACCATGATTCACATAGCAAGAGATGAGACTATTTATAGAGAGTTAGCACCTTCCACATTTCAGTGCCACAGAGAAATCTTTAGTGGAGTCAGGGGAAGTTGCTCAACACCGAAGAGGGCTTCTGTTTTCCATGTTGTAAGTGCTTTGATCTTATAGTCACCTAATATTTGAGTTCTTTTTCAAAACCATTCATGCTCCAAGCCACGGGCCTTCTGAATTGCAAACTGAGTCAGAAATTGGAAAGGGGCGAAGGGGAAAAACTTGCCTCAGTAAGGAATTGAGCTCCACTGTGAGCTTCTACCTCTGGGACACACACTCCAGTGGTCAGACTTTCTAGGAGAGCTCAGCTGAGGCACTGGGTCTAAACTGGGTGTTTAATGAGAAAGGGCATGGTTGTGGTTCTGATTTCAGAGCAGACACATTGAGTATCTCTCAGTCTCTTAGCTCACTAAGTTCTAGTCTGAGAAATGCCGCAGCCTCACAAACACACCAGGAATCTAGAAATCATCAGGGTACAAGGCTCTGTTTCACAAAGCACAGAAATACAAAACGAAGACATGGGAACTGGCAAGGCAGAGCATCACGGGGCCAAAGAGTGCATCTCTGTTTTGAGATTGCCATCTCTGGAGCATGATGTGCTAGAGTACTCAGGGACTGTGCAGCAAGATCCTGATTTGAAGAGATGAGAAATTCAAGGGCCATGGCAATTAAAAAAACAAAAACAAAAACAAAAAAACATCTGTGATATGACACAACTGGAGTGTGGCAAAATTGGGACTGGAAGTAAATTCACTCCAGAGTTTGTTTGTTTGTTTGTTTGCTCTATTTACAGTATAACAGAGAAAAAAGTAGCAGGGAAATTAGGTGTCTGCTCTCCACTGATGGAAATATTTTTTTTTAAATTTTTTAACTGTTATATTGGTAGTAATAGTAGGTTTATAGTATTTTACAATTAGAGTGTGTAGTGCAGAGGAGGTCACTCTTAGTAAAGGCTAACAAAGGCAATTTAGCTCTGAAACTACCATCACCTATAGCCAGCATGCATCATTGAAGTAGAAGGGAGTGAAATCCTGTAACTAGCTCAGCTCTTGTTAATAACTTAGTCACTGTGTGGATTGCAGTTCTTTGAAAATGAAATGTTGGAGACCCTGAACTGCCATGCTGTCTGAGGCTACTGAACCGTGAAAAAGCCTTTAGAACATTTCTGTTCTCTCACTTTCTAATAGAGAAGTGTGATGGTCATTATCTGAGACACTCCTTTTGTGTGAAGTACCTGTGTGAGCCAAACTGGCTCCTCTGTTTACTTAAATGTGGGTACTACCTAATTCACTGCGCTAATTCATTTGGCTTTCAGTCCGCCCGTAGACACGGGTTATTTTGTCCATCATTTGTTTTATTTTCAAGAGGGGCAGTCAGTCTCAAATGTTTCACATGTGACTCAATGGTCACTGGGAGTTGTCCCCATCAAGAAAAGAAAGGTACTACTGGAATTGCTGTCTGTCAGAGTGGACAAGGTGCTTGGGAATTATCCAGGGTCATTCTCATTTTGCAAATGAGATCCTCTCTGGAAAGTACAGAGTAACTAGATAAGCCTAAAATCTGTGTGATTTAAGTCAAATCTGTGCATTTTACTTTTGTTATTGCTTCTCTGTATAATTTAGTCCCTTCCCTTAAGCTATTAAACAGAATCACCAAAAAGGAAAAATCCTTCACCTAAAACACATGAAACACTTTTCCTAATTAAAGCACTCTGCTTTCTACACCATTTCCCTTTTAAAAATGATGTAGTATAATTACATCTGCAATAAACTAAATCAGAGAAGTGATTATAATTTTACCAAATTTTGTGGATTTTCTTTCTTATTTTTCTGAGCCTTTTTTTCTCTCTCAAAAAAATTATAGTTGTTTATGATACTTCAGTGTTCTTCCAGCTTCCTTTGGCAGATGTTTAAAATAGCATGTAGCAGCATACTCATTCAACATGTTACTATCAAACTTGCCAAAATGTCTAAAAATATCTTTTCATGCGAAGGAAGAAAGCCTCACAAAAAATAAAGTCTTTAAGATTTGAAAGAATGCTTACTCCTAGGGTCTATGGAATGGAAAGTAGATTTTTACAAATTAAAGTACTTATGGCCTGACACGTGAGATTTTACATTTATAGCAAATGCCTTAATTGCATTCTTTCTTTTAAAGGACTTATGTCTGAAATACAAAATCAGTCTAATCAGATGATATTTGGTTTGATGTTTGTTAAAGACATACCACCACCCAGCCGCTAACCCCAGTGAGCCAAGTTTTCATTTTAGCAAACATCTTTGAGTTTAAAGTGATGTTTACTGTTTTATAAATTCCATTTCTCTACAGCAGGACATTCTCACCAGCAGTTGATATCCCCACCGTAAGGACACTGTAAAGCAGTAGCTACTGTGATCTCCTGATTTCTTTCGTCCCACAGAGATCTCATCAAGCCCTCACACAGGATTAAGTCTTTAACTTTCTAATGAAGTTGATATTCTTGAACAGAATTAGGAAAACAATTTGCAGGAAATGAGGCAGTCTCTGTAGTTGAGAAAGCACTAGGAATATTTTTAGACCTTTAGAAACAAGAGTTTTGTCTCATAAATCTGGGTTTCTAGAAATCCTCCCAGGTTTGGTAGCAAGGTACTATATTGTTCTATTACTAGTGAACAGGTCTTTACGTATTGACATTTCTGTGATGGTCTGAATCATGATTGATTGCTCTTGTCTGTTCCTTCAGTGCTTCATCTTAAGGGGTGCTTGCTATCAGTGTGTCCCTGTGGGATTATTACTGTCTGTATGAGGCCTAGCAGCACAGCCGTCTTAG